TTCTGTAACCCGAGTGAGGCCGGCTCGCACTGTTTGAGAAATTTAATATAACACACACACACTTACACAAACACACACACATTCATATAAAACAGCTTGGTTCCGAAATTAAGAGTGATTTTAGAGTAATGCTTCCCTCATATATTCGGACGTGTTTCTTCATTTCTATTTTCATAATCAAATATTAATCTTAACAATAATGTATGTTGTTTTATTATTTAAGTAATGAATGTGAAGTACAGTAACTTTCGTAAGTGGAGGGTAGACATCAATAAACGGAGGGTCATCTTCATAAAATTATAATATTGTGAACAGGTAGCGGGTATATAAATATTTTCATAGTTACAATCTCGCTGAGTTCAATTGGCGCCAGTGTGTGGACTGCTTTATCAGGGTTCTAGTAATGTAATGCGTTTTATTTACAGAGTTTATCATCATTTTTATGAGTCACGACGCAGCTCATTAATATTCATAGATAGTTTGGTGTTGATTGAGATAAACTAATGAAAATATTGTTGGAGGAACATCGAAATAAAAAAATATACATAGTAGTATGTAGCACAGTTTGTTTGTTTGTTTGTGTCGCGAAATAACTCTTAAATTTATTCATTGTGTTATCGTCTACACTCAATATGAGCCGTCATCTCGATGTTTTGTAAACATATATGTGTTATTTTAAATATTGTTGTATAAAATATTTGTCATTTTTTAACTGCAGCGCATGTAACAGTTGTTTGTGGAATTTATTGAATATTTAAACATTTTTGATTCATAAAGCATTTCATTTAAGGTATCCTGGTGGCAAATAATTGTTGGGAACTTATTCGAGAAGTGTAATTTGGAACAGACATTAATAATGGACTTTTAACAAAACTTACACTCTATTTACATTTATCACGCACTGAGAGTTTGTCAATTTAATTTTATTTCCATAATAAATAACTGTATTCCCTCCATATGAAAATAGCATCGGAGTAAATAGTGGAAGTAATTTTTATATACATATTTTAGTTTCAAAAAGTATCAATTATATTTTTAAGATAAATGTTTCGAATTTGAACATAATAATATCATACATATATTCAGATTAAATCTTCTTAAATCAAAGATTACACTCCTAAAACCAATATACGTTGAAACTTCATTCCCTCTGCGGTTGGTACTTATCCCGTTCAAATACAACGTTAACCCCTCGAATGGTAATTTCGTTATTATCCGTTGTTTCAGGCTGTGATTTATAACGGAATTAACAAAATAAATACATCGGTACGTTAAAATAATACGTGATGTATTACTACAAATTGTTTAACCGACATCGGAGATCATGAACACATTCAGCAATTAGGGAGGCGATGTTTATTTTGTATCTTATATTACTATTGCTATATATTTAACATATTGGATTATTTTATGTATGTTTTCAACATGTGTTTGTTCCAAAATATCATTAAAACTTTATTATTATTTCCTATTTTTTTTATATAAACGTTTCAACCGACCTGACGATCTACCTGATGAAGGTAGTACCGTGGCCCATGGACATACGCAAAATAGTTTTGCGGATGTGTTGCCACTCTTGATTAGGGAAAAAGGGGAGGAAAATAGGCAAGGGAGTGAAAAGAGAAAGAGTTTTTTGACTCACGCCGATCTTCTTTAAAATGTGAATTCTCAAAACAGTCCCCTTTTCAATATAACATCATCCTATAAATAATGAATTATAATAATCGCGAAGAAATAAATACATCACGAATAATAAAAATATATCTTAGTTATAAAATTATAAACATCTCCATATTTTCCTAATGAACATACAAATTAAAATTACATTAATTGTAGCATAATTATCATGAGATGGTTGGAACTGGTCCTCGGCGCCGGGCTGAGCTAGAATGTTTAATTAGGACGTAATTAGCTCCTGACCAGTCCTGGAGCTTCGGCCCATGGTAGAAGACAAGACGTCTCCCTTGTGACAACAGCCTAGGGTTCATTTGATATAGTGTGTAATCATGTGTTTGATGCCGAATTTTGTCTGTTTTTAGAAGCTATTCAGGCTTTTGTAACGATTACATCCCTACTAATATTATAAATGCGAAAGTAACTCTGTCTGTCTGTCTGTCTGTCTGCTACGCTTTCACGCCTAAACCACTGAACTGATTTTAATGAAATTCGGTACAGAGATAGAGTTGACCTTGAGAAAGAACATAGGATAGTTTTTATCCCAGACTTTTGAAAGGTTCTCTTGGAAACGCGATATAACCGAACTCCACGCGGCGAAGCTGCGGGCGGAAAGCTAGTTATTTATAAATATAATGCTTTTTCAAGAGTAAATATAATAATTTAATAAGTAAATAATAATTTTTAATAACTATGATATGTGAAGTTTTGTGCAGAAGTATATAGTTTTAATAAAACTTTGTACATATAGTTTTAAGCAAAGGTATAACTTTGAGAAACTACAAACGTGAACCATAGATGTCTAATTGTAACCATCGAGATATAAAGGTAGGAGAGACAACCAGCCAATTAAAAACGACAAATTAACAGACATTTATAACCAGGTTGTGTTACATTTAAATGTCAACATCCTTAAGTAATGTTAGATGCATCGTAATCAAAGCATCTCAGTTGCGAAACGTCGCGGGAACAATTGTGAGATGCGCTGCAAGGGAGATCGTATTTCGACACCGCCCGCCACCATTGTCTGGTGGCGAGCGAATCTATCAACACGTAGACCTCATTGTTTGTGCTCGGAGTACTGTCGGATGTTTACTAATGATGCTTCACAAAGTATCCAGTGTCAACGGCGCGGCGTCTGAAACAATGACGATTGACACACCTTGCAGAAATGTTTTCACTTGGAACAGCGATTGTTTACAATGATGCTCAACCGCGAATTCAGTTACGGTATCAGTAGATACAACATGAAAAATGTGTACACATTATTATGTTTATAAAACACAGCCGACAATGATGTTTTCGTTTCCAAAACATTTCTTTGTTATACCAGAAGTAAGGGCGTCTAATTTGAATGATAGCATTCGTCGGATTTCGTAATCGCGTTCTCGTGTCTCACAATCGTATGTACGTACTAATGTACCCCTGGTGGTGCATGCGAAGTATTAGCATACCCGTCCGACCCACGCATCCATCATAAACACTACATTCAGGTAACATACATCCTCGCAGAAATTATTATGGATGGCATTAGGAGCTTACACTACCTGGCACTAGAACTTCCATTATAAAAGTCTCGTCTTTAAGTAACTCCAATTTAAATGGCGCTATTAAAACTCTTTTATTAATGTCGTCGAATACATTTAAATAAAAAATATAATCACAATACCAGTTATAATGTAGGTATTAGCTTATCTCTCGAGCATAAAATTTTATTTCGTCCCGTTAAGTTTTAATTATCAATAGCAAGTGTTCGTCGAAATCAATGGTTATATATAATTTTGTTTATTGGGGTATTATAATGTTGGCGCGGAAAATTACCGGCTTTAATTAATATTTAATTGAAAGTACGATTAGATAAGGCGATAATACAGAAAAAACAAAGATTACGGACTTAATAAAGAGCGATAACTTTTTGCGGATTATGATGTAGCTACTAGTGTTAGTGAACAATAAAGTTATATCGATAATTTCATTTTACAATAATGTTTTTTTGGCGTTCCTTTTTATGGATTTTTATGGCCTATTAAAGCATTACATTACACGAAAGCCTAATGTTATATAATAACAAAAGACCCGACCGAACCCGTAGGGACGGTTCAGGCCATAATGCAATTTTAATCTGTCGATAATTTTGTCTGACCCTCACTGCCTTCATCAAAATTCTTCAATAAATTCAGATACATCTAAATAAAAAAGTGTTTGTAAGTCTGATTTCTAACGTCTAGTAGAAACCATACATCAATATATATATGTTATATATAGGTACCTTAGACTACATATATATGTGAAAAATTTAAATATTGACGCAGACAATGAGTCAGATTGCTTATCACCAGCTAATTGTAAGTCACATTAAAATAAACAAGTGACTCCATATATTAATTTGTCATTCATCGATTGTTAGCTGGGAGCCGTCTGCACGCGGCCCTGGCGCCCACGCAATGTAAACTCAGATGGCTCTTAGGCAATATAATGTTTCATACTAATGTTTATTAATTAGAAAATAGTAACAAGGACGAACCGCTTCATTAAGTCCAATATTATGTCGCCCCCGTGAAGGTGCTCTAAATAAATTATAAGTATTTTTGTTTGTCATGACCTTAATATTTCGCATTTGAGTAATTTAGGAAGATATTTTTAAAGACTGTAATCGCAATAACTATACCTATAGTTAGTACCAATGGCCATAACATAAATTTTACTTAGAGTTTTATACTCTTTGAGCCCTTAAATACCTGTCCATCAAAACAGCTGTAAAGTACATTAAGTTTTATTTCAGCGTTAAATCGATTTTAATACTTCTCGGGATCTCTGTAATTAATTTATATATTATTTTTTTTACAGGTAAGTCAATGTAACGGCCCGCGGTCGCTGATTCAAATACCAATAAAAGATATGTAAGTTTAAATTTAAAAGGCTATCAGGTAATCTCTCTTTCTGAGCTTGGGCCAGTACTCGTTTAAATATAAATCTTTTTTTTACACTGGTATATATAAGTCTAAATACATTTGTAAAGCCATGTCACTCGCGGAGTTATTATTTTCAAGGTTATTTAAATTAGTAAAAGATAAGTGTATGATAAGTAGGTACATTTCTTCTTACATACATATGTATGTATGTTTCATTGGCATTTCTTTCGTATGATATAAAATACATTAAATTTGATACAGTTTTATTGAACATCATGTATGTAGATGTTAAATTTTTTAACAAGACACGTCTTTGTAAAGCGTTTAAGTTGGTTAATGTCGCCTCTTGGTATGAATTATAAGTTTAATTAAGACTAAAGGTTAAGTATGTATAAAAAAAGATTTTAATTGCAGTCAGGAATCCAGGAAGTTGTTGTTAATCGATCTCTAACCATATCAGATGCACCGGAACAAGAGGTCGTCCGAGGTAAATGTCGATCAACACAATTATATTGATTTCCTAAAGTAATTAAAACATTTTCTTTTAAGGTCCTCATCAATTTTCTATGAATGTGAAGGAAACATAATAAAAGTGGTTTGTTTGTTTATATTATTTTTTTAAGTTCCGTTGAAACGAAACTTCTTTCTATTCCATGGATTCAAAGTACGGGTGGCGGGTTCATCGTTAAATATTATAATTATAGAATTTGACGTAAATTTTTATTAATATATTCTGAATATTTAGAGCGTGAGTTCTATGAGTATTGGTTGATAATCCGAATTATGTTTGACCACTGTGACACTATTTAATAAAGCTTCAATTATAAAAACAAATAGTAGGAGATTGTAAGGATAATATCATCAAAATAAGCTGTAAATGTTACCTATTTAGTATGACAATTTGAGCTACTGAGAGATTCATCAAATAAAATTCAATTTATTGAATTGTTTATTCCGTTTCTAGTACGTGTTTTTTTGGGTAAATTAATTATAAACTCACTGTTGCATAAACTTGTGTTTCTTTATCGTAATAATAGCTAAACTGTAAACTTAATAGCCGGTTCGTGCTTCGTAAAAATTAAAAGATGTCATGATTCCGAACTGCTTTCCGTCAAATTAAAAATCTAAAATGTTAAATAACAAATCGTTTCCAAGTAATTATTTGATTCATCTTTTCAATTGTCACAACGAAACTTCTAGCAAATATCATGTTGCGATTATAATTACAGTTTTCTATTAAAATTGTATATAACAAAGAAATATAATATAATAATAAGGAACGCTTTAAACTTACAGCCATCAAACGAAACATCATTTGACAATTGTTTCCCGCCATAAGGCGCACGTCGTTATTTTGACGTTCACGCAGATTTTATTGAAGCAAACATCAGCATACTTAAAACAGGTTTTAACACGTTTCGGTGAGCCATAAAAATAATATCTAGGAGCTAGATATTGTCGACGCATACCATATTTATAGATGAATTTAAACGGTCGTAAACTCTTATAGTAGGTCAATGTGCCATGTTTGTGTGTTGTGTAATGGCGTTTAGGAGAAACGGCATTAAATATCTTATTGCTATGCCGTCAATATTGTACATTCAACATTTAATTATACGTATTTAAATATTAAATTTAAGAGACGCTCGCGCCCGTGTCGATGCTGAACGGCAATAGCAAATGGAAATCTCAATACGCTTGGTAAGAACGTGTGTGTATTCATGTTTCTGTTTGCAGGAGTCTTTAAATGATTAAAAATATATCGCGGTACTTTAAAAACGTAATATGGGGGTTTCGCAACGTCATATATCTTAGCAGCGGACATCGGGCCCAAGTAAACGCAAGAACCTAAAAAGGCGAATCGGGATATTACCACATCGTAAATAATTCATACAATATTACTCAATAGTCCGTGGTACGGTGTCCGTTTTAGTGAGGGTTTTTTTTTTGCCTGTACCGTTGGTTGCGATACGTTTTTCTCCGCTCAACTTTGAAATCGCTGAAATAATTTAATAAAAAAAGAAAACTTGTCAAAGTGACATTTCCTAAAAAGTGACACACGCCAAATTTGACAGTCGGAGAAACGTCTAAAATGGAAGGATTTTTTTATATCGGTTTATTATTTATAACGGTAATTCACCGCGTCACAGTGACCCAACAAAAAAAGGAGGGGACCGGTCAGAAGAGTTGCAGGTGCCTACATTCACTTTCAATGTCGCTACGATTTATTTTTATGGTTTTACATTACTTTTAGATGACTCTTAATGTTGCCTCCGCATCGTAATATAATAATCATCTCTAAATAAATCAAACGATAGAAAACTGCTGAGGATTTTTATAATGTAGGTACGGCTGTGGTAGTAAATTGATTGGCACTATAAGTATTTTATGTTACAATAACATGGTTATACCCGACGACTATTAATGTCAAGAGTACGTATAGCGGTCATGGTTGTGCAATGAGCGAAACATTGATAGCACATTTATTCATATTTTTTTTTTACGATAATAACTTCATTTAAACGAAATAACTTTAACGTGTAGTTTACTTGAAACATGATTATTACTTTGACATGCGGTGCCATCTTAAGGGCACAAGTTAATATCAGAGAGGCCTCGAGATGTTGACCCAAAAACACTGCTAACTATGAACTTGTTTTTGTTTATTTAACAAGTTAAATATCGGAACTTCGCTCGTATTTTATCGGTAACTGTTATAGTTGTAAATATTGCTATTTTAAATTCGATGACCAAGCATGTCTGTTACTTAGGGAAATTTTATAAGTAAACTATAATTACACAATATTAATGTTTTACAAAACTAATAGTATCACTAAAAATGTTACGATATTCCATACGAATGAAAATACTTATAAAATTAGAGAAAAAACTAATTCTATTGTGTTATTAGAATTATTAAATCAGTACAAGTAACACTGTACGAAACTATATATACTTACTATATATAAAACCTATTTTAATTATAAACGTCACTACGATCTACTAAATAAATATTTGGATTGTATTCTAATATTTTTATTCTCTATATTAAAACCAACTTATTTCAATATAATCATGTATTTCGAACAAGAAAATTTTCTTCATACAATTATAAGTACTTTGTAATCATTATCAATTCTCTCCTGATCTGTAGGTACCTTAATCGTTAATTAATGAAATTTCATTGAATTATCATTAAAATTGAATTCAAACGGAACAAGTTTTTTCTTTCTTTATAATATAAACACAATCAGTTAGTATTTTATAGTGTATAACTCTTATTCTTATTTTATTTTCGCCTCGGATCACTTATAATAAATAATATTTTACGACGTTGTCCCACTGACGTTTTAACGATTTTAACTCTTTATCTAGTGTAGTCAATAGTACCGGGATTATAGAAACGTTAAAACTTATCTTAATGTCGGCTGACTAACAAGAGATAAAAATATTTCAAACGAGCCATCTTTTGTCATAGCGTTATATTTAAATCGTTTGTTATACATTTCAAATCTTAAACGTATTTCATACATAATAATATGTTATTTGTTCTTGTTTCTCTCTTATAAAACCTTGTTCGTATATTCGGTCAAGATGATCAGCTGTGTGAAAATATCGCGACCTTTCATTAGTTTTGGGTACGCGCCTGCTGGCAAATGATACGCGTTTACATAAACAATTCACGAAGAACATTTACAAGTGTAGATATCGATTTAAAAGTTATATAAAATATAATAATATGAGGCATAATTTTTCCATCTCACGAACCTTAGTAAGGATGCTGTTTATTTTGTTCAATATAATTCCTACATCTCCTAAACTCTCAGACCTTAATGCTGCGGTTGTAAAATTTTAACGCACCTTTTATTTCTACACTTACTTTGAATTTGCAATAAATATATGCGTTTGTTGACGCCACAGCTGTTCAGTTTACATATGTTACTATTATAATAATCGTACGGTAGCCGTGAATCGCGCATTAGGTATGCTTGAATTTGGTATTTATTTTAATACAATCATAAAATATTATAAATATAATATTGTAAGGTAACAAAACAAAGTCGAGTGTCATTACAGGTACAGGGACCGGCTGCACAGGATGGGACCATCAATGCTATTATCGGTTTCAATACTTGTAAAATACGATATTTGTTGGGACAAATTGATAGCATCCTGTTTGAGCCTCTCAGATCCTCCAGTCTGTGTAATGCGCTGCTAACATGTCATTAACTTACGTAATTATCATTTACTTACGTTACGTACGCGTGACAAGCATAACAGATATATATATTTATCTGTTTTTATACACGGAAGTTGGTTTCTTCTCTCTAAATAGTCTGATTATATGTTCTGTTTCTCTATTTAGAGTATTTTTTGCATTATATTTATTGGGACCAAACAAATATTTTAATTATTAAATCATGTTATAAAAAATGCAAATCCTTTTTAGAAAATATTGCTTTATTAAAGCATTAAGAAATATTTTTAAATACGAGATAACAAAGGAAATGAATTTTAATCCTTTATTTATTATATGAACAATAACCTTTATTTTTTATCTTGATAGTGGTAACAACTCTTTCCGCAGACTGCATCTACCATTGATATATTTTGAATGTGGTAGTATTGCCTCTGAATAGAAGCTCGTCGAAAAGTTCTTGAAAGAAGCTTGATTTCTTTTCTTTTCCTCGTCAAAACAAAACTACATCTTAGAGAAAGAGTTTCATAAGGTAAAGAGAATTCTCACTTATATCGAGACTACTTCTCGTTCTCACCTTGAACTTTAAGTTTCTTGACAGCAGATAATTGTTTTATAAACATTTTATCACAACTCGAAATCTTGTTACAAAAGTTATGAAATGCTATCTTGTTTGAAAGAACAAAACAATTAGATTTGATAAATGAATAATTTTTGACCGATATTTTAAAGTCCTGGGAATCTTTTGTTGAATTAGAAGCGATTTTACTTATTTAAAACCAATAGAAAAGACAGTCTGATGAAAAAATCTCAGATTAACTTTTCAGGACCAACTAAACTATCTGAAGTATATACGCGAATAATAGTGTATAGCTTAGTTTTTACTTATAATATATCAGGATAAAAAATTTTACAACATTTTAAATCAATGTCTCATTATAATTAACAGAACTTAATGTATTATGAATCTGTTAAATTGAATATTGACGGATTACCGTCATTCTAACTGTTTGGCAGCACCTTTAGCTTCAAGTATTGCAAAGAAATCCTGTACGCAATGATTACTTCATTGTACTGTTTACATCAGTCAAACATGACTAGGGTTACGACACACGGTTTACCATTCACGTATCAATCCATATCTTATCAGACGATCGTGTGCAACTAGATCTTATTTGATATCGAGAAATATGTCCAGATACTCAGCTTAGAACCAGACTCAATATGCTTCAACGTAATGTAGTGGGGCATATTTTATTGTGCTGTTCTATGTTAGTTTCATGAATTTTCTTATGCCAATTATCTCAAAGTACAGATTGGTTTTCTCTCAATTTTATAGATAATTTCTAGACATCTTGGATTAAATCTCCTTAAGTTTTTTTTTATATTTATGTTAGAGTACTCGTAAGAAACAGAAGTCTAGAATGTTCTTTGCTCCTTTTATGCGTGTACGCAAATACAGAACTGGTGTCCCGTTTCTATTTAAGATTATTCGTCTGTATGTGTGTACCGTTACATTTACTATAAGATATTCGTAATCCAACATTGAATGCTGCCCGGATAATTGTGAGTGTTGCAGTTTTTATGATCGTCGATAATTTTAGTTTACTGACGCAATTTTATGGGCTAATGTCTGCTTTTGCTTCTGTTTGATATCACAGATTGGACAGTAGAAACATAATGTGTTACATTTTCATCAGTGATTCTAATATTTCAAGTAAAATTTTTAGTGTAGACAAATTTTAAAATACTATATGACATTTCCCGGTTTTTTGACCGTTTAGTCATTTTATGCAATAATCATAAACGGTGATAGTGTGTTCTTAAGCATTATCCATTGCAAATAGAATTATTGCGTCTTCCTGAAAATTCTATTAAAGATATTTATACAGTAATAGTTACTTTCAAAACTTACTTAAAAAAGACAAACCGGTACCCAAGAACTGATAAGTCCCTAAATAATATATAAAAATATTATTTTATTATATCAACTGATGTAAAATGTAGAACACAAATTTTAAACAACAAACAATGTTGACTGTCCTAGTTTTATTTATAAAATAATTTTCTGCATGAAAACACAGGGTAAATATGAAATTTATAAACGAACTTTTTACGAGGAAATTGCCGACGGCGAAAGGTATTATGTTGCTATCAAGGAAAAGGTCATCGGTTCGATTAAAATGAATTAAAAATAAAAACTTATGTGGGAATGAATTATAAATATACTTCCAGTGCAGTGATCAAGATCTGAAGTGATCCGTCTGTTTGTGCTCCCCAGCGGTACAGTTATCTGATTTGCTCAGTTATTTTAATGAGAACCTAATAATATATCGTTGACCCTAAAAGTTCAAGGCGTTACGAAAATAAGTGATTTATGTTCGCTTATTTATTTAAAAACGTGACTTTGTGTGAAAGACGAGTGTTCGGAAATAATATGTATTTAATTTACACTTGTTGGATTCTGTATAAGCAGTTTAGTACTTTGTTTGTTGCTAAGAAGTTTGAGTCCCGGGATTTGTTAAAATTTTCACTGTTTCGAGTTCTGACGCCTTTGGGTCAAATCTCTTGGTGAGACCCAGTTGGTGAAGAGTTTTGTTATAATCTTAATTTTCCTTCAACGGCCTACATGTTTATTTCAATGTGTAAATACTTGTTAATACTTTGTAGATCCTTTGTACTAGGAATAACTACGTTTGTTACAATGTTAGTTTTATACTTATTACATTCCGTTATTAGAAATATTTTCCAAAACCACATTATGCCGGAAATATAATGCATTCTTATTCAGATTCTGAGAACTGCTTAAGTCCCGGAATGTCCAGGGATTTTAATATCTTCGAGAAATTCTGAATCCCACTGCCAAGTTTTCGATCTAGTATGTAAACAAATCTTCAATCAAAACAAACGACGCCGTATAAATCAAACGCTCTTAACAAAAACGCTACAATGTCACAGCTTCTCCATATGAAATGATGAGCTCTCATTAATCCAGCGTCCCGTAACTATAAATAATCGGCGAGCCCTAATATCAAAGGTTGGTTCTGCTCCTATTTCCAACAGCCATCAATCTAAGCCGCACCTGCGCCTGCGCATCTTATTATTAGCGTCGCGACGGGCCGATGAACCGACCCGCTTACCGAAATAAGTCGTTCACGAGCGAGCAGACGATGCGTTCCATCGAGAGAGCAACGCTGCATTGACTCATGCGTCGGCAAATGTCGATTGTGCATCGCAATAGATTTGTTATAAACTAAATACAATATTCGTGAAAACTTAAGAGTGTTGAGCTCAGCTGTATCAATTAATCATTCCTTTGTATCGTTTTTTCTATTTTGTTTATTTATCAAGTACAGAGCGATATGTTTGTTTGTATTTTGATTTGTTACATTTTATACCGACAATATGTGAGTTCGCTGGCATTAATTGAAATATTTTACTTAAAATTTGCTATGTAATATAATAAAATGATCGTTTTCAAATAAATTATCGTTATTGTAATATATAGAATGCGTCTTTGTCTTAATGTACAATATTTCTATTCAATTCTAGTACTCAAAATGTCATAGGTCGGAGTACTTCGATACTGGATGTTTTGGTACAATTACTGTACTTATTATGAGATAGATTTGACAGTATTATTTCGGCATACGAATTCGTACTTACACGAAGTTTCCAGACGATTAAACTAGATTTATTCAGGCTAGACAGTTAAATCAGACGGATGTCACTTTTTCGCTTTATTGCTCTTTGCTTGTCTGCCATGGGGATTTAGTCCTTACATCATCAGACTAAGGTTCATAAACGTTGGAGACGAGGGTGGCAAGTCTGGGTGCACTATGCGTTGCAATTCTGTCGCGATCAATACTGCCGGTTGGCAGACAGTTGTGTTACACATAGATTTATGTGTATCCCTTATAAATTTAATACTTCTGTGTGTTGGGGCCTGGGTATAACATTTTAAGGGTATAACACGATCGTATATTGTTCGACATAAATCCTTACCTACTTGACTGTAAGGCGCGAAAGTAATGACTGAATATACGTTGATATTAGTAAAATGTTTTGTCTTTATGTATATGTTTTTCTGTATTTTTTTTAGAGTTCTTCATCTTTGAATCCATTTTTTTTCTATAAATCAATTGGCATTTTCTTGGAATCTCTCCCAGTACCGCTAGAGTGCACCAAGTTTCATAATACCCCGTAACTATGACTCCAACATGATCAACTTGTGACATGTATGTTCACGTCCTGCATGTTTTCATTGTTGCTTTTTATTTATTATAATACAAATAAGTACTATGTATATCTGCGTTTATACATATTTAAAGTAAAACTTTTATTTATTGCATATAAATATATTGTAATTAATTATTATTCATTGTTTTTCGTGACTTATACGTAGTAATGGAAACATGTGTTATTTTAATTAAATGGAGCTATTATAATTTTTATAAATTATCATATAACGAGTGTTTGTCACATAGTCGCCTGATAGTGGAAACATACCTAGTATATAGGTTTATATATTTTTTTGTACCGGACGCTGTCTACTGTTGCGGTCTAGACTTTGAGTAATATGTGTGATACGTCAGACGTGTATCTAATAACGACTTACATTATTAATGTATTAGAACCCGTTTAGAAACACACACATACACACATTCACACATATACACACCCACATGTAAACACATTTTATAAAAAAATCATTGAAGTTACAATGTAAAGAATGTTAAGGTGTTCTCTTGAAAATTTTGAATAATATGTAATAAAATTAGAGGGTGTTCACATGAATATTATAAGGATGAACTAACAAGTTGTATGACATTCAACCTTTACGTACCTGGGTCACAAAAAACGTGATGAAACTGAAATTTACCATTAATTAAAGTGACAAGGCCGGCCGCTTCATCTCGATCTATAATCTTCATTCAATTTAGACATATGTACTTTCAAGATGCGCCAACATCTGCCATACACCTGACGCGTGCCAATTGTTATTAACTAATGACCTGCGATAACGGTATCCAAAGGGTTGGACATCTCTGCATGTTTACTGCATGCACTGATTCACGGTCAAGTGCAACGGGAAAAAAATCTATTACTACCTAGTATTTTATTCAAAATAGTATTATAGATAATAATGTATTTGGTTATATAATACGTTATCTCTTTAGCCTGTATGTATATCGTAAGTGAAACATATGAATCGAATGTTGTTTGTCCTGTCGAGGAAGACATTCCACGGTCTCAGGAGCAAACGGTAATTGATAGAAGGTCACGCAGCGCCGTTAGATGCGCCTGCGCATCTCGTCCTATAGAGGCATCGGCGTCCGGCTCCTCTTAATATAGCGAAATTACTTTTTATATCCAGTCCACGATCGTCCGACGCTGGTAAACAACAAATTTATAACGCTCGCAGTACATTAACTGTCGTATATATTACATTGTTAAACAAACCATAACAAACGATCGATGTAATGCTAAATATGGTAAAACTCAGTGCTCGGCGCCGTATACGTTTGAGCTATGTATTAGAGAAGTCACCGTCGACTGTGTCGAATAACAATCGATGGCATTTGTGTTCCTCTTTATTGGAAAACAATTAAATATGAATGTGGGAACGAGAGATGACCGTTTATAGGCAATAATTACTCTGTACTTTCACATAGTTCGCTGGTTATAGCGATGTTGAAGTTGTATAATATTTGTTGTGCTTTGATTGATCGAACGGGTTGTTAGTCGCTTGTGGCTAGTGATGTGCACGGACTGGCTAGTGATGTGCACGTCCGGTAGATCACGATGATCACGAGGATCAGACGTTAACATTGTATAGCTATTAGATACTTCATCTAGTCACCAGTCACCAGTCACTAGTCACTAGTGGGTGTGGACGACATACCGTTATGCGTTTAATTAGTGATTTTCTGCTCAAAGATAGCCGTCTTATATTACGAATATGTTTTATCTTTACAGATTTTAGTTATAGGAAATGACATTATGTGGTACATATTTAGTCGGGAAAGCTGCTTATTAAATATTATTATTTATTATTATATTAATTTATTCCGGGTCCGTTTCAATCTCAAGTGTACTCTGGTCATCGGATAGAAAGACGAATGTCGCTTATCTGTCTTTAGAACGTCGTTTACGAACAATTTGCTTCACTAACAGTAAAGTTATCGGCTATTTACATAATCGCCACCTCGGTGGTATTACGATCACAACACTATATTCATTTATTCAAAATACAGTCCGAGTGGATGATCTTACAGGGAAAATTACGATAAATAATAAATAACTGCCGTATATTAAATTTAGTGCAAGTAAAGTCACTCGACGATTTGATTTTCAAATGTAAGGTTTTCGTAAAAACATTAAAAAAATAATAACATAAAGATATTCAATTTATTACTTTACAAATATTAAAAAAGTATTGTCTTTTTATAAATTGTACCATACCGGTTTTCTAAACGAAGTTAACTCTATATAACATAGATCTAGTATAAAAGTCGAAACTACAATAACAATAACCTTATCATAGTATGAAAACATGACACATTTGATAGTAATTCCGTCGACGGCAGGTGCGAGGAAAGCGCATTTCACCGGCCTCTGACCGCGGGGTCAGTCAGTCTAACAGCGTCGACCTCCGCTAATGTGACGACTTCTGCTTTCTATACTTGTATTGTCAAACTACACTCTTATCAATAATTAATGGAAAAATACAAAAAAGTAATTAAATATTTATAGAGCATATTTGTATTAAAACGCAGGCAGGCGGCTTTTTTTGTTTGTAATGCATTCATTACAAAAAAGTCTTCGACAAGATGTATTTTAAATAGCGCAACATTACATAAACGTGCTGGAATTTGTTAATATGCCATCGAACATTATAATATCACGAGATCCAAAAATGAGAACTGGGCCGGCTGTCATCTGTCCGCTGCGCGTGCGCATCACACAGGAGGACTTTTTTATATGCATTACAATATATTAATGGACAGAACAAAGAAGGCTGTTGTATAATATGAAAGCTGCAACTTAATGTAACAGTTGTACCGCATTACCATCACGAGTAACTATTTCTTTAGCAATTAATTTTTTTTGGACGAAATTGCTGCTATGACATTAAGACAGACGTGAGCGTATTGTATCCTTAATATAGTGCATAAATTATTTCTCTTAATTTCATTTTCCCTAAAAAAACTGAAGTGCAAAAGTTGAGTTATTGACTTTGCGTAGTTGCGGCGCGAAATGGGAGGCTTGGCAACCTTTATACAACACGTTCTCAGAACAAACAACACTATTCTAAATAAACAATAGAGAATACAAGCACTTGAACAGTTCTCGACTCCCTTACAATGTATAAGTAAACGGGAGGCATACATGAGGTTTGTACAGGCCAGGGCTGGAATTTTGGATGGATTTCTTTTAGGTCACGGCCAGATAAGTATTCCACGCCTTATAGTAGCATATAACACTAATTGTTCTGAAAATAGAAACACCAATAAGTCGACTTAATAATCTAGGAGTTCATTAATTGATTAACAAATTCATTTTGATTAAAGTTTACCCATAACAATACATACTATTGTTATTATTTAATTTTTCTGTATATGAGTAGGATGTTTAGTCACATTTATTCGCTTCTACCTGTTGTATACAAACAAACAAAGACAAAGGAGGATACGAGTGAGCCACGAGTGTACAAACAAGGGAGCAAGAAAATTGAAAGAAACTTGTATGTTTTGCAAAGCGAAGTTGAAGGAGGTTTGCATAACACTGCGTGGAAATTAAATTTTTATGGCATTTTCCTTATGGTTTTGTTTAATGAACTGCAAAATAGAAAGCTTTGAAATATGAGCAATAATTCTATGGTCGTTAAATGGATGTGTTACGAAATTGTTTTTATCAAAACGTTAGGTGGGAGCTTTTAACATACAGTCGAGAGTTTGGAACGAGATCGTAAAATAGTATAAAATACAGTATTCGAGATAAGAGACGGTGTGATTGACGACGAAAACGGTCATTACAAATAGTTTGTCGCCTTGTATGGTGAATAATAAGATCAGCTGATGTATGGGACTCGCAGGCGGATACAGGAATTGTGCCAATGGCATGATTCTCTCACTTTCCGATTTATTAACATAGAATACACAAACATCGCTACTACCCTACTGGCTAGTACATCTGACATTACGACTTGAATCTTCATCCACATCGAGTTCATGTATAGTCCTATAAAATCACGATTGGAAAATTATAAATATCGTAAAGACTCAGTTATAATCATGTTATTACTTAGTTACTTTAGGGAAAGTTTATTAGAAAATTACTATGAACCATAATTTATCTGAATTACTAAGGGAATATGAAAGTAATTTAACGACGATAACTTTCAGGAAATGGAAAGGAAATCTGGTGTTGGGATTTTATCTCGTGATTTCTTTATGGAAGTCAATTAATTGATTGTATACATCGGTTGTGACCCCCATTAGTCTTTATATTAATAGAGGTATCATAAAATAATATTCTACAATGTGAACCTGGCAGTGGTCATTACTTAGAAGCTCAAACTGAGACTGAGGATAATTATGATAATTTTCACCTCTTCCTCAGACAACCTTCGACCTTCAAACCGTGAAGCATTAATTTATCAACCGGCTTAACTCATTCATAGATTCCAGCTGACCGTTTAATATTTAATAAGTCGATATTATAGCTAGGTGGGTGTATGAAGTTATTTGTATGAAAGTTTGCACCAGGTTGAGCAACTTATCCGTTGATATATGAAACAGTAATTAATAGCTGAGTATGTTGTAAGTACCTACATAATCACTAACTGTAAACTATTCATTTAAACTTGTTCCAACTTCAACCTCTTGCTGATCGATATCGCTATGTCGAAATATTTGTAAACGATATCGATAGCTTAATCGATTCTAGCACACGATAATCGACCAGTATCGAGACAGCACCATCCAAGTGGACCATACCCTCCATCAGATCCAGCGATAATTCGATTGTAACTCGATTTTGACATCACTCATTTCGTTTAATATGCTCGGAGGTATTTTAGAATAATTATAATTAAGTATCCGTTTGATTCATAAGCAACGGTTCGTCTAATGATTTCGTATAATATATTTATAAAAATTTGATTGACATCGATCGGTGACTTAAAAACATAAATAATTTAAATTATAGAAACAGGGTTACCAATAAATCACCTATCCAATATATATAGAAGAAATGTGGTACTGCCATATTATAATATATAAAAATTAATAGGTAAATTAAATGTATACTTAATATGAGTTTTTACTGAGACGATAACAAACCGATTAAACGGCCGATAAAATTGATGACTGTTCCTGATACTTATTAATTTGTTTATATAAAATCTGACACTGGAGATATTTTGAAGGATTAATTCAATTATTAAGTCTTTAAACAAATTGTATCTATGAATTTATAGAAAAGATATTTATTGACGTGTCGACTTTAGTATAAAGGTCAATATTTTAATTCTTTTATTTTGAATGGCGCTTAAATTTTCGATGAGTTTGTTTTTTTTTACATTTTTTTTTTTACCATAAGAACTAAGTCCTAATAATATAGACCATAAGAACTAAGTCCTTTTAATATGAAGCAAATCAGCTACGTTATATATTATTAATTTAGATTTTCTATTTTCATAATCAACTTACAAAAAAAAATCAATATAACATTAAAATACATTTATATATATATAGAATTTCAACATAACAGTAACAGTTGTTAATTTTTAGCAATTCGTGTGAAATTCTTTCTATTTGTCCTCAATATGTAGGTTCTAGGTGGAACAGGTTTGGACGGCGTTTAAATAAATTGATGAAACCGTTAAAAAATCCTGATAGCTATAGAATTCTATTTTAATCAGGACGGTGATAATGCTATTCTAAATTTTATAACTATTTTTCATTAGTTCCTCTCATTAGTACTGATATCGCACGCTACCGGTTTGAGAATCAATACATACTTATGAGTCATAATAATTCATTAATATTTATGATTTTTCTAAATATTTTTTAATATAGTATCACGACCCGTATTTTCCTGTTAACGCCCACGTTATATCAAAGAATTTGCATTCTACACGTCTAAATAACATAACAAAAACTACATTATCTGAATCTAAGATGATTATACAGATGAATATGAGGAATCATCCGTCTGAATCATCTTAATGAGACTAGGAAGTGTTAAACACGTTATATATAGCTGTTTAGCTTCAATACATTCCTCGTGTGGTTCTGTTAGGGCTCTATTACACCGCGACACTGGTGTCACGAGGATGTCTCG